TGGAAGCGCTGGTGACAACCGAATTTCGTATGGGTGAGTACGTCTAAGAGTTCTTATATGCCAAGCTACCAGTGCTGCCAACTATTTTGGAGTAAGAAATCCAGATTTTTATAAAAAGCTAGAAAAAAGCTAAATTCCACAAAACAAAAGCTGAAAACTAAATAGGTTTATATTAATACTAGCAATCCCGGCGAACTTCGTGCCACCCAAAATTAATTTTTTATTGAAACATTTGGTGCAACATTTTCACCAACAATTCACGTTTGGTTTTGTGGTCGTCAGAAGGGATATCCTCCAATATACATAGACTTATTTCAGACGAAATATCTTAAATATCTTACAATTGTATTTGTATGTATTTGTCAAGAATTGTCTTTAATCTGTTTAGACACCGTAAAGCCAGGTTCACAATGGTTCTGGTGGCAGATTCAACTACGGTATTTTGACTTTGATCCCCGATGTCTCCTAATGACTCCACTTGACGATTTTTAGAAATAATTCGACTCCAGCGCCATCTTGGAGCTTTGCGGTGCCTAAAAACACCTTTCGAACTTTAAAATATTCATTCAATTCTCTTCTATGTATATATTTAATACGTGTACCGAATTTCAAGCAAATCGGATCATAAATTTATTTTTTTCGAATAGATCGGTCCCTGGCCCATCTATCAGAAAAAAGTATCCTGTATGTTAATCCAGGCATTAGGCTACCTACTTGCCAAATTTTAAACAAATCGGACCATAAATACGGTTTTTGCGAATATAACGGTCCCTGGTCCACCTTCCCGGAAAAATACTTTTTTTTACAAAACTAATTCTATTATACTGAATAATTGTTTTTGTTCTATGATCATCACTGCAATTAAAATGTTTAAGAACATATTCTACCTTCTCATGCAATGCACGTTAAACATTTCCCACTGGTAATTTTAAATACATATGTATGCACTATATTTATAAGGGAAAAGCTAAAAGTCCGTAAAAATAAATCTCAAAAAGTAGGTTTTCCCGCTTTTCGCAAATTCTCATTTCTTGCCGCCAAATTGACTTCGAAAAATCCAGATTTGACGGGAAAAGAGCTAAATTGGCAACCCTGCATGATACGCACATACATATGTACATACATGTATACAGCTCGCGCAAATTTTTATAAATACAAATTTAAGTAATGGCATTAATGATTGATATGTATAAACCAGAAAGCAGTCACTTATAAATATTTATATACGATATATACATAGGTACATATGCACACTAGGGTGCCCATCGAATTTTTTTTTTAGAAATTTCAGGACAGGGTGTATTTATTTATTTGTTTATTTAATCTATTAAACTTATAATAAAATTATAAATCTATCGGCTAACCCTACCCCCTTATTTCCTTCCTTGTTATGACAAACATTATTGGCTATTTTTGTAGATTTTTCAAAAATCATTTAGAGGCCGCGAGTTGTCATTTTAGGTCAGAAAGTGCGGTTTTGTGGATTTATCAGTTTTTTGATTACTAGTTTTCATTCAGTTTTAAGGATCGAACATGTCGTGAGAAGAAGATGTATAGGCCCTCAACGTGATATATAATAATATATTGTCACACTTGGATTGTTGGGCGTTTTCATCGGGTAAAAAAAACACATTTTCTTTTTAATTTTTTAGTTTTTGACCATCGCTATTTTCCACAATTTCAAAAAATGTAGTACTATCTAAAATTAAGTCTATTTTCAAATAAACTTATTTTATCAATAAATGGATAAAAATTGTCGGAGTTTCTTAAATATGGCCTTGAATTTATATTGTAAATGTACCGGACTGATAGTTTTTTTGAGCATTGTGGCTAAGGAATTAATCAATACTTATTTAAAATTGATATATACAATCGCTCTTTAGCAAAAAAGTGCCTTTTCAAGAAATTTTAGGAAAATGGGGGTGGCACCGCCCACTTATATGATATATGCGTATCTCAAAAACTACTTGTCCGATTTCAACCAAATTTTGGTATACACATGGTGCCTAGCCTCCTTAAGCACCATCTTGAATATTTTTGAAATCCTATATCAAAACAAAATTTTACAAAAACTGGACTTAGGAAGCTTTCACTGCAAGCTAGCGGTATGTGGAACTTGTTATATTTTATTTAGGTCAGAAGCAAAAAATTTTGAGGGTACAAGTTTCGAAATTCGCAGGAGAAAATTTCTGTGACACTCTAATGTACATACATATACATACAAATTTGTTCAATTGTAATATACATAAATGAATTATAATTCTTTTAGGTAACATTGATGGCGCGTTTGAAATTATAAATAAATTGCTGCGACAGCATCCTAGAAGCGAATTTTTCCGCAAAGTCAGAGCGCAAATGGAAAATGAATTGGAGAAATCTTCTGCGAACTCCAAGGACAAAGAACAAAAGAAAAAGGTGAGGAGCTTGCAAACATCTTTTGGAATTTCATGCACATAGTTGACACTTGATAACTGTATTTAATTTATTGATTTGCAAAAAAAAAATTACCATTGCTTCACTCTTATTTTATTTACGAGGACAATCCTGTTCAATTGGTTTCATTAATATTAAAAGTATGGGGAAATTATGATTTACCCAAACACTCACTTTAATTATGGACATTTGCATGGAAAAGTTATCCTTGACTGGATATCAGATGTTTAGCGAAGACAATTTTTATACGATAATATCATAGAGACGGTTGAGATTTTGACATTCTAAAATGTGTTTCGCATAACACAATTGTGATGATAAAAAAACTTAATCCGAAATTGAAGATAAGCGTCCAACAAAAACTTTCATAGTACATACATATTTTCTTTTTAATATTTAATTTTTTATGCATATTTATACAATTTCAGTAATAAGGAAAACTACACTACCAGAGTAGCCTAACTGACATTAAACAAAAAATTATGTATAGATTAAAATGCAGTTTTAGAAAACAGAAACGGTAAAGGCCCGATGTACGCCCTTTTTAAACGGATTCATCGTTTTAGTTCAGAACTTTTCCATGTGGTTGTTGTTGCGTTTCTCTCACAGAGTTTACTTTTACTATAATACAGTAAAATATCCTTCCTTCCCGTATATCTCAAAACAATTTGCCTGTAGATAGACTCCTGTGGCTTTCATGGCCTCATATATTCTTAGCTCTATTTCCAACTGAATCTTAGTTCTCTTCATCTCAGGAGGTTTTCCTCTTACTCTACTACCACAAGAGGTAACCGTGTTGAAAACTTTCTGGCATAAAGCATTTAGGTCCATTTTTACGACATGACCGAGCCAAAGTAGTCAGTGCATTTTAATTCGCTGGATTATGTCAACGTCGTTTCAAAGTTCATACGGCTCATAGACCCATCGTCTGTAGCATTCGCTGACGCCAACGGGCATTGGCCTGTAGATCTTCCGCACAGTCTTTTCCTCAAACTCCAGGGATCGCTGCATCGTATTTGCCATTGTCCATACTTCTGCGTCATATACCAGCACGCTCACGATGAGTGCCTTATAGATTTTGGTTTCTTCACGACGAGATAAGACTTTCTGCAGAGTACTCTGCAGCGTACTCAGTCCAAATGAATGTTAATTTTGGTTCTCAAATAAACGAAGTCTTTACTTTTTTTTTTTTTTTTATTGAATACATATATATTTGCAATCTATTCATAGAACAATAAGCAAATTATTTAACAATGGGAATTTGACTTGTATTATTGACCTCCAGTGAGGTCAATAATAATATAATGACAAATGTACAACATACATATACATATGATAACTTATACATATTTACATGTAGAGAAAGAAAGAATTAATTTATTAATAGTTGGATTATTACTTGGTATTACTTTTTTTTTTTTATTATTAGTTAGTTTCTAAACGGTAGGTCTAGAACATGATGTCTTTTAAGCCTTATGATTTCGTTGGTTTCATCTAATAACGTAATAGCCAGCAGGTTGTCATGATAACTGATTCTGCGTAGGTATGCTGCACTGAATCTATTAATTTCATTTTTTATAAAAGGAATATTTTGATCTGAATGGATGGCTTTATTTGTGATGAACCAGGGGGCATTTGTGATTAATCTTAAAGTCTTGGACTGATATCTTTGTAATATTTCTATATTTGAATTTGATGCTGTGGCCCAAAGCTGTATGCCATAAGTCCATACTGGTTTTAATATAGCTTTATATAATAAGAGTTTAGTCTCGAGATATAGAGATGACTTAGGTCCAAGTAACCAATATAGTTTCTTAGTTTTAGTTTTTAGCTGCATTCTTTTGGCTTGAATATGACATTTCCATGTTAGTCGCTTGTCTAAATGCAAGCCTAAGTATTTGACGCTGTCACGTTTTGGAATGGGATTGCCATAAATACGACAAGGGGGGCAGTCATTTCGCCTTAATGTGAATAACACATGCACAGATTTATTTGGGTTGACCTTCATTTTCCAACGATCTAACCAGGACTGAATCTCATTTAGTTCCTTCTGTACTAGGTTGGAATAAAGTCTTTACTTTTACGAAGTTTTACCGTAATCAGTTAGTTCACACAATACGCTTGATTAGGCCTTTTAGCCGATATTTTAGGGGCGATTAAGCAGAAAAAACGTAGACTCTCCGTCAGAGTCAGAATGCGGAAAATCTACTCCATCGTAATCGACTAGACCATTTAATAGGGCTGAAAAGTATTCCCTCCATAATTAAATACGTTGTGGAAATCGGTAACTAGGTCGCTATAGTTGTTCTTACAGGAGTTCGCCCTGGTATTGAATCTTTCCGTAAGTCGCCAAACTTTCTGTTTACATTTTCGGACGTTTATCCGGACGACCAGCTTTTCAATACGCTTCCCTCTTCCGGTCCCTTTATCGATCGTACTTAGCTCGTGGTGCGCACGCTCACACTATGGCCCTGTAGCTGGCATCTTTTCTCTCTGCAGCTTCATAGCATTCCTCATTCTGCCATTTGTTTCTTCGGGCTCCAACGTTCGACTATTTATGAAGTTTAGCATTTTGTAGGTCATGTTCCAAATTCGGGATGGAGACAATAATCGTTCTCTATGTCAGTATAAATTTAATGCATATATCGGTAGCTGATATACGGCCTTCTACCACCTAATACTAAAATAGGGCGCTTTTTAACCGTTTTCTGAGATAGGGCGTTTTCGAAGCAGCTACCGAAATATGGCGATTTTCCACTCAGCCCTTGGTTGGCTCGAGGGTTTCCTCCGCCAGCCCACAGAACCTGCAGTCCACCTCATCAGAAAGGTCTATTTAGCCTGGGCCTGCAGTATCCCATTTTGAACCCTCCCGACTAAGGTGAAGCTGCCTTTTAGAAACTCCACTATAGAGAGAAAGAAATATAACCTTGCAGACCTTAATAAAGGTTAGTTTCTGACACCCGAATGACTACCTCACGATACTCTTTCATGTTCTACAGATTATTTAAAAATTTAGAATATTCAATGCGACATACTTCAAGTAAGGAATGAAAAAGCGTTACACAGTATAAGTTTTATTTTGTCTTTAGCGTTTCATATATGTACATATGTATATGTTTTGTGCACACGTAAAAATATAGGGATTCATGCATTTATGCACATTCATGTCAGTGACAATCTAAAAATACGCTTATGTCAAGCTAACAGCTGTAGGTTTACCCATGCTCCTTTCGTATATAAATGCGACGACGCGAAAGCAGCAAAGAGGCTATTTATCATCACAATGATTTTGTATAAACTTTATAGAGATCCGTTCACATACCCATTTGCATGATTTCACATACATATGTATGTATATTAGGGTGTTCCAAATATGCATGCGAATAATTAAAGTCAGAATTTTCATGCTCTCATCCCTTAGGATGGATATACATAAAGAATATAAGTAGCGTTCAAAATAAAAGTAACATTTACATTTTCTTCCAAAAGTAAGTTTTGTTCATGCGTTATATGGAAGAAAATGCGCAACATCCTCCACAAAATAAAAATTCTACAAAATCAACGACTTTCAAAATAGCGACTTTCAACTTGCACTTTATTAGACTAAAATTGAATGCGCTATAAATCTACATACCCGAAATTTTTCTAAAGATTCTGATAAAAAATTTTGAAATTTTGATGACAACTTTTTCAAGTTTAATTAATTTTTTTTGAAATTTGCGTAAGCTTTGAAACTTTTATTTATGCAGTATCTGATATAGATCGACCCATATTTTAAAGGAAAATCATTAACCATACATAAAAAAAGAAAAGTTTGCCAGCAGCATAATTTTGAATTTTGATGCTATTATTTTGAACGCCACTATATACCCCAAAATTTTTGTATTAATCAAAATATATTTAGAGGTCGCTCAAAGCGCTCAAAGTTTTCCATGTATTTTATATGGAAAAATCCAACTTCTCATAGAATTTTTGAAAATCAATATTTTGCGATCGGAAAACTCTGTGTATCTTCAAGATAACCTCAATAATAATAGTTAATTGTTTCTTTAACCATTTTTTCACAGTAACTATTTTTTATAAGTACACCAAAACCCCTATAAATGCAATGGACGTACCAATACCTAAGGGATGAGAGCATTAAAATTCCGACTTTACTTATTTTTATAATACCCTAGTACATAATTCATACTACATATATGTATGGATTAACAAATAAGCTGAGTTCCATCGAAATGTGTTAGTTGTGTTTCAAATTTCACATTTCTATGCATTTTTCCATTTTTGCATATACATATCTACGACCTGTCTGAATATATACACTGCCGGAAAAAAGTATTGGCACAGAGAATTTTTCGCAATATAAATAAAAATTTTTTTTTTTAATTATTCTCCCCTAATTTTTTTATAAAAATATAGATCATACTACAACAAAAAACATAAAAATATAATTTCTAAACTTTGGGCAAAACATAGGAACATTCAATAAATATTCATGCAAATTTTCAAATTTTGAATCAGATTTCTTAGAAATTTGTTGAGTACCTATACAGGCTAGAAGTTGCTTGGACTTACCCTTGATTTTTGGCAATTTTTGAAAGCATTTTCTCTGATACCAAAAATAATTTGTATGGGAAAAATGCGAAAGACCTTCAACAAAAAAAAAATTCAAAAATCAACGCGATTTTTTAGCAACGTCAAAGTTGCATAAAATTGAATGTCTTACAAAACTGTATACTCAAAAAATTTTCTGATTAAAAATTAGAAAATGTGCATACAAATTTGTTGCATTTTCTTGAGTTCTGCACAGAGTGTAAAAAATTAAATAATTTTTGTTGTAGCATGGACAATAATAAAAAAATTAGCTTAAAAAATAAAAATATATATAGTGAAAAATTCTATGTGCCTACACTTAGTGCCGTGAGTGCACATATACATATATGTATGTATGTACATTAAATTGCTCAAGTTTGCCTTTTACATTATAGCGAAGTGACAAATCCGTTGAAGAATCGATGATTGAGGAGGTTTGTCGAGAGACAGCAAATATTGCCCTCGCCAACAACAATGTAAGCCACCATATTTTCAACAGTCGCACGCAACACTGCCGGCTCGTTGACGGTAATCTCCCTGAGCTGCTGCTGCAACCATTCCAAGTGGAGTTCTTAAGTCTGGATCCGTACATTGTTGTGCATCATAATGTGCTGGATACGCAGGAAATCGACGAGTTGCAAGAATTAATAGAAGAAGAGTACTCTGACGATGGTGAGGTTTTGTCAGAGTCGCTGGAATTCACAAAATTAGCACAGCGGAAGCTGAGATCGTTAGCGAAACGTTTGCAATTGGCTACTGGGCATGCAAGCGCCGATTTTGCAGAGTGGTTAGTGGAACATTTCACATTTGAAGATGTGGTGCATGCAGAACCATTGGTGCCTGCATCAACGCAAACTATGGCGAATGTGCTGTTCAATGTAAGTGCACCGGTTGGGAGTGTTAAACGAGGCTAAATCAATTTTATTCTCCATTTGCTATTTGTAGCTGCAAACACCCAAGCTGGGTGGCGCTATTGTCTTTCCGCAATTGGAAATGGGTATATCGCTGCCAGCGAATGCGCTGCTGTATTGGACGCAACTGGACGAGTACTATGAATACGATTATCGAAGCAAACAACATGTCTGTCCGGTGATAGCTGGCACACAACTCAGTAAGTGCTTTTAGAACTTTCCTATAATTTTGATATTCATTGGTTTGTATATGTATTTATGCACGCGTATGTATGTACATATATGTTAATGCTTTCTTTTTTTGTATTTTGTTGCAGCGGTCTATACCAGTATTACAGCACGAAGCTAATGGAAAGGAGATCAGTTGATATAAATCTATTTAATTAAGGAATTTCTATAAATAAAAAAATCCATTAAAATTCAATTTTTGAAAAACGGGGCTCACTTTACTACACTTCCTGTAAAAGCATGCGGAGAATTAAGTAGCAATAGATATGTATGCATGTACATTAGGGTGGTCCAAAAATGCATGTGAGCCGGAGGGGGGAAAGTAAGGTCGGAATTTTTATGCTTCATGCCCTAGGATTTTTCTATATCAAATAATGCTTAGAGGTCGCTCAAAGCGCTCAAAATTTTCCATGTATTTTATATGGGACAAAAACAACTTTTCGTAGAAATGGTTTCGTAACTCTGTGGTAGGAAAACTCTATTTCTCTTCAGGAGACTCCCAGTAATAATATCCAACTGTTTAACCATTTTTTCATAGTATCTATAATTTTTAGATCCGCCAAAAACCACCAAAAACCACGAAAAATGCAATGGGGGGACCAATAAAAAATCGTTAGTAATTAAAACAAGAAAGCACGCCGGAGCCACACTGGAGAAGTGAAACTTACGTTACATACATATCTATTTTGTCACATAACCTATACATACATACATACATACATCTGCTTTTGCTTAAGGTTATATTTTTTGTATTTTTTTTCTATCTAGATCCCTACCTCTACCCCTGTGCGTTCTAATTACATTTATGTTATTCTGTTTTCCTTTATCTTCATTTTTGTCTTTATACTCTATCGATAACAAAAACTATAGTAGCCTCCAATGAAATATCGATAACAAAACCGATAAAAATATCGATAACAAAATCAATGAAAAAATCAATAAAAATTTCGATGATAATATTGGTAGTCAAATCTATTAAAAACTCGATATAAATATCTATAACAAAATCGATAAAAATATCGTTAACAAAACCGATAAAAATGTCCATAACAAAATCGATATCAAAATCGATAAATATCGATAACAAAGTCGATAAAAATCGATAACAAAATCGATAAATATAGATTAATATAGATAATAAAATCGATAACAAAATCGATAAAAAATGTCTAACAAAATAGTAAAAATTATCGAGTACAAATTCGATAACAAATCGATAAAGATATCGATAACAAAATCGATAAAAATATCGACAACAAAACCGATAAAAATATCGATTATTTTATCGATAAGTCCCGATATTCCCCTTCGTCTTTGCCCTTATACAGTGAAAGCTCCCATAAGCGGACACCGATGGTCACCTACTTTTTGTCCGCCTATGAGAAATGTCCGCTTACGGGAATTTCTTAAAAAAAAAATTAAAATTCAAATATAACAAGTAAGAAAATCTAAGTCCAGGTGGAACCGAACATTAAATACCCGGCGCATGTATTAAATATATGTTTTTTCACTTTTTCGAAACCTTCCGCTAGATGGTAAGCCGGGGTGTATCAATTTTGAGTAAATTAGCGTCCTTAAATTTCGAAATATTGCAGTTTCAAGCATTTCTGAAATATACCGTTATATGAAAAGCTGCCGTAATTTTAGTCCGATTTCAATAATTTTCAACGTTTCGCTTTTATGTAGCAAGCACAATAAAAATACCGAGTTTGGTACAAATTGGTAGAACGGTTACCGATATACATATATGTGATCATAAGTGGGCGGCGCCACGCCCATTTTCCAAAATTTTACCATAAACGAAATTCCTGGTAAATAATTGTTGCAAGCATCAATTTTGAATAAATTTGCTTTAATATTTACTGATTTATCGAAGATTTTGTATTTCTCGAAATTACCGT